GCTCGAGTACCGTGCCTTGGTTCTGTAATACCTGCTACCAGGCACCTCAACATCCTGTTCGCACCGGTCGTCCTGTTTAAGTTTTGTCAGCAGGTGATTTTTTTTAATTAGATGGTTTTATATGACCAGTTGTTCGTAGTACGCCTTTAATAAATTTTGAGTAACTATGGATATCAAAAATGGTACTGGGATCATTAGCGGGGTGCTTTTTAGCCGGGGGAAACTGTTTTTGTTTTTCAGTCTACTGCTGATAATCTATAATATATATATTTTGATAGTATTTTTTATTCCTTTTGGAGAGCTAGAAGGTTACAAAAAGCATCTTGGAAATTTTTGAAAATTCGGACATTTGGCCATTGTTCACACATTTTTGAACAGTAAATAAAAAATGTTCACAATTTTTTGTTTTTGTCTGTGAACATCTTCCATATAAAACTGTCTAAAATGCAATGAAAATCGTTTGTATTTGGTTTTAAGGCCGTACGCGTTTACTGGAAAAATTAGTTTCCACCTCCGCTAACAGTCCTATACAGAAAAAGTCCTATAGAGTTTAGCATATAAAGCTTTCTGTTGCAACACGAAAGTTAACTTTTAATCCCCGCTTCCTTTAGTCCCAGCCTGTCATCTGCAACACCTGCGGCTACAAACGAATCCGAAAGGCCATCGCCGAAGTCCGAAATGCGACTATCATCGAAAAACCCTCGATTTCTGCTCAACCCTGAACAAATGTGTGAATATAAATATTTTATTTGATTATCCGCACTTTGAACATGTCGAATGCAAACACAACAACCAGATAGGTATGGATAAAAAAGTCACAATCCAAGAGACAGGAGCGGCACCCGGGCAGTTTTTTGGACCAAAGCTGGAATTGGGGAGGAAAGATAGGGGGACAGAGATACATAAAAAAATATAAAACTGAAGCATCATGAAATTCCTGATATATTGCCGGTGTCAGTAATACGCAATAAAAATAAAATTTTGAACATTTTCGGGGTCGAATAAAGGGTAGGTTAAACGGAAAATATAAATTCAACTTTAGAAGTAATTTTAATGAATAATTTTGTCAATTTCAGGCCTTATTTTGTGATACGAATTGAGGTAGACATTCGGCGAGCATTTGAACGTTATCTTCCAATGCACCGCGCTATCCTGCTCGGCCAGAATTCGGTGTTTTCCCTCGCCTGGCGACAAGCCGTCCATGGTGTCCATCGTCCTAGGACCGATGAACACAAAATGGGTAGTCAAAGGGATTGAGTTGGATACGGTAGGGCGGCCTGGAGCTCTTTTTGTCGAATATATTATATTTTTCAATGTCTCACCTTCCCACCCTCTCTCTCTCTCTCTCTCTATCGTTCCCTGTATCCCCCTCCTCTCTCGCTCGCCTTTCCCTCTCCCTCTCTTTCTCTCTCTTGACTCACTCATTCTCTTCTCACACTTTTTCTTTCGCTCGATCTCGCTCTTTCTCGCTTTCTCTGCGTCTCAATCTCCTCGCCTGCTCCGCCTCTCTCTCACCCCCCTCTCTCCCACCTGCTCGAACGTATACTGGCACCGGTATCCGCATCTGGACATACCGTCCTCCGACCATCTTATGCAAAATAGGGGCAGCATCTCCTTTCACTCTTTCGCCTCATTTCCGTATCGCAATAGAATATTAATAGATAAAAATGTCTTCGGCTGATTTCTGGAAATAAACTTACGATTTATCTAGAGGATTTGCTAGCAGAGACATTTGCAGAAATACTACCTAAAAATTCAGATATCTTTTTGGTCAAATTCTTTTTTATTTCTTAGTTTTGGATTATTTGCATCTTCCAAAAACCGCCCAGCGGTGCACATTCTGCCAGTCCAGCAGGGCGTGATATTCCCCTGCGTTCCTGGCCATTAGGTCTTGTTCTCTCTCTGACTCACAGGAAATTATAGGTCCACATGTCGCCATGGCAAATCACGTCGGGGATTTCTGAAAATTCGCTTGCTTCTTGGGACTTCGGAATCACGACAAACCTAGTACCTGTGTCCTATCCGCAGTACGTAGTCCCAGAACTCGCGGCTCTTGTAGAAGGTGACGCATTTTTCTCGAAACATTTCGTCATCCTGGGGTGTAGCGTGGTCCAGGTACTCTGCTGGCTCCTCCATTTGGTAAAAAATTTGCATGTACCTAAAAAACGATGTTGAAACGGGCCGTCTCGAACACATTTAAGCCCCTAAGTCCCCGGGAGGCTGATGAATATAAATCTTCTTGAATTCGAGGTTGCCAAAAAGGCACTTTGAATGGGCTTAGGGGTGCAAATTCGTACATATTTCGTCGATTAGAGTTTGGCAAAAAGGAAAACATTAAAGGGATGGTAATCCTACTATATATAAAAAAATAGTGTCTGTGTGTGTGTGTGTGTGTGTGCATTTGCATGCAACTTCCGTCACCGTGTTCCAGTAGTATCTCAAGAAGGGGAGTACTTAGGAGTATGTTCAACCGTCATTAGGTGCGTACTGGCCTGGAGATGACTGCACACATATCAGATTTTACAAAATATGATGTTTTCGACATTAAAATTAAGTTTTTCATGGACAATCGGACACCCAATTTGTTAGGATCAAATTAGCATGCACCGGAAGTCGCGGTAGCCTATATAAAGGGACGGCAAGAGCATTTTTCATTTTTTGTCATCCGAATCCGGGAAAATTATGCAAAGCCAAAAATATCATTGGAGAAGACGGGGCCAGGGTTGAAAAGCCGCGAAGCGGTTTTTCAACCCTGGTAGATGATTTATTATGGTAATGGATTTACGACCCTTTTAAAGTGACATTAACTTCAATGGATCCACGTTTTTTCTAAGAACGTTCTAACAACGCTACCAGCCTCAAAATTTCGATAGAAACTGACCCGTCAGAAACCCGTATTTCTGGAATCGGCTTCCCGGCTAACCCGTAGACTTGGATCCATGCGATTTGCGAGATGATTTCCAGGAGCTGAAAAATGCTAATATTCGTATGTTGTTTGGCGTTTACAGTACTATAAGGTACATGTATTAAATTGAAAAATACCATTTTGATCCACATGCAAACTCTAATTTCTTACCTGAGAGTTATTCAACCCGTTATAAATATCGCTTGGCTCGGCCTCGGAAGATAAATCCCGCATAATCACCGCTCCACAAGCTCCGATTTTACCGTATTCCCATTTTTCAATGGCGTAAGCGGTGGCTTTCTGAAGAATATAGCTAATTTTTGTGTTATTAAATGTAAAAATACCTTAATCTCAGGCCAGTCCTCCAGAATCTCATAGAAAGCACATTCGCGATTAAAAAAATGAGCCTTCCGGCGATGGGGGGATAGAGGTGGTCGCTCTAAAACGCAAGGTAATTTTAGGTTAGACAAATTGTAACTAACCCCATTTTCCCTCATAAAATATCTAACTTTCTCGCCGCACATTAGAACCATGGAATGGGTAATGGTGTGAAGTTCAGGGATCTGAAGATAGATAGATATGTCCAGGCCCGTAGCGGAACCGAAATTTCGGGGGCGACCTCCCCCCCCCCCCGTCGCCACTTTTAAAACATCCGAAAATCGCGTCCATAATAGCGCCGCAGGCAAAAAAATAGCAAAAAAGCGTTTGCTACACTCAAATTCGTGTGAAAACACAGCAGAAAACGCGCCGCAAGCGAAAATTTTTATGAACAATTGATTCACTAATGAAAAACCAGCGCCGCAGGCAAAAAATTTTGAAAGAATACGCTTCATATAAGTAAAAACTGTTTGAAAAACAGTAATAAACAGCGCCGCAGGCTGAAAAATTTTTGTCACTAAAAATCATAAGGGTCCCCCCTTATGAATTTTTCGGACCTCGACCGATTTCGGGGTGGCAAGGCCCCTGGCCCCCCACCCCCCCTACGGGCCTGGATATGTCTGTCTCTCACACACTCTCTCGCTCCCTCTCCGCTTACCTT